TAAAAGGTTTCTCTGGTATGTTTTCGGCACTGGTTGAACTACATGGTTTATCTTTATGCACTTCATGGATTTCTTCCTCAATGACGTCTTTTAAAACAAAATCCCAATCAATGTTGTCATCGTCCAATTCGGCAAAATCGACGTAAGCCTTCCACATGGTAATGTTGTGATTCGTGTGCTGGTAATGATGCATGTGCAAAGACCCAAATCGCTAAGTATCATGGTAACTTCCAGTGGGTTAATGATATGCACGACTACATCAATGGGAGTTTGTTTTCGGGATAACTTGGCGTAAGGTGTCAATGATTTATTTGCCCGTTACGAGGGTTAGTACAATAGAATACTAAGCGTTTCCAGACCAGTGATAGAGGGACTGTGACTGGGGTTATAGGGAGTTGAGTATATACATCTATTTCTCTGCTTAAATTAAAAATTTAATGGGAGATACTTATAACAGCAAAAATGCAATCTGTGATGGGATTCTCTTTTCATCCATTACTATTACTATGTAAACAGAGGAGGATGTTTGAATGTGACCTGGAATGTATTCTATGTTGGCGATGTACTTCACCCCCATACATGTACAAGGGGGAAATTGAATGTTTGAAGGAGTGCAGATATGTTTTTAAACAAATCCAGCTAAAGTTTTATACAGAACAGTAATTTTTTTGTTTTGTGCTGGATGTATAATTACAATAGATATTACTTCTAATATAGAAGAAAAAAATGAAAAACATTTTGTTCAATCAAAAGCTGTATCAGCACATGTATTTTCCCTTATATGGGGTAAACTACTACGCCACTGACATTGTCACATTCAATCACTTATCTTTTGACACTGAAGCACAACAGCATGTGATGAAAATAGAAACCCACCACTGAATGCAAATGTTCGCAGAGCACAAATATTAAATTAAATATATGAGTAGACGATCCATAAAAAAAATAATCCAACCTCCATATAAAGACTATCATAGGCGGGTACTATACAAAGGTTTGACTGTATCATAGATTAACGACCATCGTCATACTGCCTGAAGGCATAATTTGCAGTATTTGAGACTCAACTTCTCACAGCAACTAAGAAGAAGTTAACAGTGACTTGACTTTACTCTGATGGCACACCTAACTAGATTGGTATACCAAAAGTTATTGGCATGCCTGTGAAAAAGGTGGACTCTAAGTTTAAAAATGCTCGTTATCCAGAGTTAAAATACCATCAGAACCTCAATGTATTAGTGAAGTGCACAGAAAATACATCAATATGAATTGCAGAAAATTGTACTCACCATGTTCACAGTAATCTCCAAGGTATCCGTGAGCACAAATACAAATAGATCGTCCTCTATGAAGTAAACAAGTACCACCATTCTGGCAAGGATTCAGAGAGCAACCAGCAAAGGCACTTGTTTCTAAACAAAAATAGAAAATACAGCCTCAATAAGTGACATGCATCATACCCGCAATATAACATGATCAGCAGCACTGTGAAAACAACTTGCAACACAAAACGTTATCCTAATTATATACATAAATCAACATGAAAAAGCAAATTAAACAAGACATACATGGCCCAGTCCCTGTTTGTTATCAAATTTAAGATATATAGTTTTGTTTATAGTAATATAGTTTGAACATAAACATGCTTGATTATGATGATTTTTAGCATAAAAATGATTGACATTTGTATCTGATTGTCAAATGAGTTCTTGTCCACATTGAGAGATATTGCTCTGGAACAGCATTAATTAAAACAAAATTAGCACCAGTCGGTCATTTTGAATTTGATCGTCAAACATCTGTATATCTGTGACACAATGTATATTGAATATAGTGGTGTTAAACAAGGGTGCAATCTAAGTCCCCTGTTGTTTAATATCTATATCAATGACCTATCTGAAAGTCTAGTACTAACTGAACCTGTCAGGCTGCATGACATGCCATTTAACTGTCTACTCTTTGCGGATGGCATTGTCATACTGTCAAATTCAGGTTCTGGGCTACAAGACAGTCTTAATCTCTTTAATGACTACTACAAAAAGTGGAAACTGACTGTCAACATCAAAAAAACCAAAGTTATTATTTTCAACAAAAAGGGGAGAACAATTAATGATATCTTTTTTCTAGGTGATGAACAAATAGAAGTAGTATCTTCATATACATACTTAGGGATCACCTTTCAGAATACCGGTAGTGGCAATTTACAGTCGCTGTTAATAACCTTGTAAAGAAAGCACAGCGAGCACTAGGGTCCTAAAACAAA